GGATGTCCCTGCCCATGGCAGGGGGTTGGAACGAGATGATCTTTAAGGTCCCTTCCAACCCTGACAATTCCATGACTCTATGATAACAATCTGAAATGCAATAAGTTGCATCCCTGCAACGGTAACACGTGGTGAGGAAGCCTGGGATGAACCACTTGGCCAGGGGCAGAGGAGAGCTGCACAGAGGACATCCCCCCGTGAGGACAACTCTGCCAGGGCTGGGCTCAGCCTTACCTGGTGATCAGCACGGCAGTGTCGTGGTTGGCTATGCCATTCTCGGGGATAGCGTTCCCATTGCCATTCCTGTTCACGATGGATTTCTGCCACTTGCAGAAGCTGTCCAGGGATTTCCCAGCGTGGTGGTTAATCTCCAGTGTGGGCTGCAATGTTAAAAACAGGACAGTGTGTTCCCAGGAAAGCTCTGATATGAAGGCACTGCCTATTCCCACGCCAGCAGAGCTCTGCCACCAGTCCAGATACCCCCTTCTTTTAATCGAGGCCATCGGAAAGCTAGACTTCAGGAGGAGTAAAGCTACTTAAACCTCCCTAAAGCCACCACAGAGGCCCAGAGGTCTCCTCAGCCCATCAAGGAGAGGTGCTGCACCCAGGAGACTGTACTGGGGGCACCTCCCAGGGGTGACACCCAGGGGAAACACACGGACCCGCAAAGGAACCGCAGACGCAGGATGCAAGCGGCTCAGCTAAAGCCCACCTTACCTGATCCTCGGTGAGGAGAATCAGCCGGGTCACCAGGATATTGACAATATTGCCCAGACTCGAGTCCTGGAAAAGTTTGGCAACCTGACCTCCAAGAAACAAGAAAAGACGAGTCTTAAAAATGAGCTCGTTGCCTGGGTGCCGGCACGATCGGCGGCTGAGCTGGCACGTGCTGGGGATCCGGTGGAGGGAAACAGGGCTGCTTCGTCAGTGTGGGCTGCAGGGTCTGAACGCAGTCTTTTTAGAAAGTGGAAATGGGTACAGGACTCCAGTGGGACTGAGGAGCCTCCTAAACCACGTTCAGACCTTGGCGTTGCTTTCTAGGGAGATCCAAGCAGCGAAGCCAACGTCCCACCTGCTCCTTTGCCTGGAGGCTCAGGTGGGGAAGCCCCATGGTCCTGGCATTACGTGGCCCCAGGGACGATGCTCTGCTGACCGCCCATCGGCAGGGAGTGACGCAGCGTCTCTCAGAAATCTGCCGCCACACGATGGGCGTTTTACAGCAGGCGCAACAGTCAGAAACGGTATTGTTTTAAAATCTGGCATCTGCTTTAGAAATGCAAACAGAGCAAGCCATGAAAAGAGATCCTGCAGAGGATGGGACAAAGAACCATCATAGAGAGGCTTTCAGGGGTTTGATGGATAACTTCCAAGCCTATCTCACCTCACAGGAGGATTCAGCATGGCCAATTCAGGCTAATGCATCTAGCCTGGTATCCTGCCGCCAGCAATGACCCAAATGCGACGCTGCAGAGGAAGCTCCTCTGCAGTAACCCAGAGACACGGGCAGCCTGGTATGGAAGAACGAGGGTCTTTCTCCCCACCCCTGACGCTGATCAGCCCCCAAGCGTGAGAGCTCACTGTCCTTATGCTTTCCCATGTGTTTCTCAGCTTGGCTGGCCGTATTTGCAATGCTAATTTGAGATGAGAGATGCTGTTCAAAGAAAGGGCTTTGTTCTCCCAGCCCAGATCTGGCCTGTAGCATGGAGGAGTTCATCTCTCCTGCAGTGCCTCCCCTATACAACAGGGAGCTCCTGCAGACTCCAGAGTACGCCTGCTCATGAGCAGCAGCAGCGTGTCAGGATTTTTGACCCAAACATGTTGCTTGAGGGATGGGGAGAAGCCACCACCACCCTGGAGCAGATCCGGTCTCCCCGCTGCATTCCCATCCCGCTCATTTTTTGCAGGAAAAGCACTGGGCACCCTCTGCCAAACCCAGACACTCGGCGCGAGACCAGGATTTGGTTGCTCTCTGCTGCTGGGGTCCCCCAAAGTTCATGATGTGGTTATAACACTTACAATATTCATGATGGCCAGGATGTACTGCTCTATGTCCCGCCGCCCGTGGTACCCCACCATCATCTTGTCAGCCACCACCAGCGTCTCCACGTAGCGCTCCGTGCTGACGGATCTCTTCAGGGGCAGCTGGCCTCGCTGGCTGTGGTTGCCCGACGGCTTCAGAGGGGAGGGCTTCAGGGTCCGCAGCCACCAGTGCCTCCCTTTCCAGGGCTTCTCATCTGGGAGAGGGCAAAGAGGTTTTGCTGTTGCCCCTTGGCAGCAATTCAGCAGCACGCAGAAGCGAGGGGGGCACAGCATGAGCTCGGTTTCAGGGAAGGAACGTCTAGAAACGTCTCCAGAGCTCACTGTGACTAGCTAGACCCCACCTCCCACCCTACAAGGCATCTTGCCACCTGGTTTCTAACAGCAGCAGATGTAGCCCAACGCGGACACAATCTTCGGTGACTAAAACCCAAAGACAAGTCTCTGCTGAGCGTGCATCAACTACGATTTCTCAATGCCTTGTAAACTGGCCAAATTTGGGAGAATTTTTCTTAAGAACAATAAGAGGCAGCTTTTTCTCTTCTATTCCCTGCTCTATTTACAAATTTAAAAGCCCTGCTGTGAAGAAGAGTGTATAAGAGCTTTCCAAAGACCAGGCCACCAGAAATCCTTAGCAGGGCTAAAAGTAAAGACTGAAAACTTTCCACGGCGCAGGAGATAAACTTGGTTCTTGGCCACAAAGGCAGCGTGGACCTTCAAAGCCTGGTCTGCTGGGCTCTTCCCAGCCTGGACTGGGATGGATTGAGGATGTGGTGGTGGGTACAGATACCTAGCACGCCGCAGGCTGCGTCCATGTGTGGGTACTGCAGAGACGATCGCTTGTACACGACGTGGGGGCTGCCCTTGCCCTCGCCCCCTGCACTGAGGTTGGCTCCCGGGCTCAGGGGCTCAATGAAATATTCCTCCTCATCTGCGACGATCACCCCGTGCTGCAGAAGGAAGGCAATAAAAGAGGTAGAGAGAGAAGCGGGTGACGTACTGGTGGCTTCTCATAACAAGCTTTCTGACAATTAACCACTGAATTTCTGGGGACTGACAAATACTTTTGAGAATGCGAAGGAATCCTTCATTTACGCACAAACGCTGAAATGTATGAACCTACAGACGAGAGAAAACTGAGCCAGATGGTTGTGGATGCCGTGGGACATCTGTGTTCACTAAAGTCCTCTGGAAAACACAGCCTTTCCTTGCAAAATTATGAATGAGTTGTTTCCTATTCCACCCACTCTGTCTAATTGAGAGCTGTCTGTGGGATCCTAAATACCATACCTTCAAACAGCAGTGAGACCCACCTCCTGTACTTTCAAGCCTCACTGAAGAACTTTCAAAAGCAGCTCAGGACCATTACCACTAGCTGGGAGACTCAGGCACAGAGCTACAGAGAAGCGAAGAGTCTCAGAGGCATCTGAGAAACACACTGAATCTTTAAAATCTGAATTATTAGCAGGTAACCAGCAGGAGCCACAAGCTTGCTGTTATCTGGGTTGTGCCCCGCAGGTATCACTGACCCTTTCACACCTCTGACTGGCCATCTGGGTCAGATGATTCTGTTTCTGCTTCCTTACCTGTTTTATGTTGTTCTCCCTTATTTTGTTCTTTGCCTGAACGAATCTCAGCTGTGAGCCCAGACTTTGCTCTCTGCAGGTGGACCCACTCTTGAGACAGTGATGAGAGGGGCAGGAGCAGACCCCAGCAGGAGGAGCAGCCAAACCCAGCGGGTGCTTACAAGATCTCTCCTCTGCACCTGGGCTCATCCTCACAGCAAGATTTCGCTCGACCCAAAAAGTCTGAGCAACCTAAAAAGTTCCTGGCAGCCCAACACGATCCAAATAGAAGCTCCATTGCTGCAGTCACTGTGTGTGCTGTAACCACTGTGTGTGCTATCAGCTGAACTTTACCAGCAAGCAACCGACACACAGAAACGTGCCTGACATTGCTCAAGCAGGGCAAGAAGCATCCAGAAAGTCTAAGACCCACATTACCTGGCTGTCCGCCCACTCCCTGTGCACAAGAATAGCTCCGGGCGCAGAGACACCCCCCTGCAGCCAACAGCTCTGCACCCGGGTTGTCCTGTGGATGTCAGAGCGCTTCACCTGGTCCCCTCTAGGCAAGGAGCCCCGATCTGCCAGGGTGGGAGGCAGGGAAGCAGGTCTCTGCAAAACACCTTGAGGTCCTTGCCTGGAAGGCACCAGCTGCGTGACG